CCCCACAGCCACAGCCCCTGCCCCCTCCACCTTGTACATAATGTATAGGAAAAGTCTATGTATGGTTGAGGGGGGCGGGGTGGCTTCCAAGAGCTGGGGGACCCCCTCTGCCCCAAGTCCCCCCACAGGCCAAGATCTTTGCTAAAAGGCCATTCCCTCCTCAGAGCATTCGGTGTCGGGTGGGAGGGGGAAAACGCATCTTGTTAATTATTTTTAATCTTATTTATTGTACATACCTGGGGCAGGGGCTAGGGAGGTGGAAGGGGGAGAAGGGTCCCCTCTCTCCGCCACCCCACTCCTTTTCTACGGCAATTTGTCTGTGTCTGTCCCCCACCCGCTGCCCCCCCCCATTGTTGTCTGGATGTGGTTCTATTTTTTATCGGTCTCCTTTCTCCTCCTTCCCCGTTACTCTGGCCCCGCTCCCCGTGGCCACTACCCTTTGTCTCTTGCTCTTTCTTGGGCTTCTGTACAACTCAACTTGTATACACTGTGTACACACAACCAGCCAAACGAAAACCCAACGGCAAACACTTTACTGGCAGGCTGGAGTGCCTCTGTCCTGCGGCGTGAGGGTGGGCCCAGGGTGGCAGAGGCAGAGGGTCTGGAACGGAGCTTTTCTAGAGCCTGAGGATATATGTTCTGTTACAAACCTCCCAACTCCAAAATTTATTATTATTATTTTTGAGTCGGTGTCTCACTGTTGCCCAGGCTGTAGTGCAGTGGCACACTCGCGGCCACTGCAGCCTTGACCTGCTGGGCTCAGATGATCCTTCCAACTCAGCCTTCCACGTAACTAGAACCACAGGCACGCGCTAATTTTTTTTTAATGTATTGTAGAGCCGTCTTTTCAAATTGCCAAGGTTGGTCTCGAATCCTTGGGCTCAGACAATCTTCTTGCCTCCACCTCTCAAAAGTGCTGGGGATTACAGGCATGAGCCACTACACCTGGATATATTTACTTATTTGTTTTTATATATATATATGCTTTTTGTTTTTTTTTTTTTTAGTCAGGTCTCATTCTATCACTCAGGCTGGAGTACAGTGGCATGATCCTCAACCTCCTGGACTCAGCCTCCCAAGTAGCTGGGACTACAGGAACATATCACCACGCCTGGCTATTTTTTTCTTTTTTATAGAGATGCAGTTTCACTGTGTTGTCCAGGCTGGTCTCGAACTCCTGGCCTCAAGCGATCCTTCTGACTCAGCCTCTCAAAGTGCCGAGAGTGCAAATATGAGTCACTGCGCCCACCAACCCCAAAATTTAACGATTTCAAACAACAAACACTTATTATCTAGGGGTTTCTGAAGATCAGGCATTTGAGAGCTGGGTGGTACTGGCCGAGGGTCTATTGGGTATGATCAGGATGTTGGCCAGGTGGCAGCTATCTAAAAGTTTGGGGCTGCACAATCCATTGTCAAGATGGCTCATTCCATGGCTGTTGGCTGGAGGCCTCAGTTCCTTGCCAAGTAGACCTCACACAAGGTTGCTTGAGTTTCCTCACCGCATGGCAGCCACTGTGTGGCCTCCCCAAAGCAAGTGATTTCAAGAGACAGCAAGGAGGAGCCACAAGGTCTTGAAGTCCTAATCTTGGACACTGTACAGCATAGCTTCTACCACTCTATTCATTAGAAGAAAATAATTAAATCCAGCACACACTTATGAAGAGGGAAGTTAAGCTCTACTTTTTTTTTTTTAAAGTAGGAGTCTCACTTTGTCACCCAGGCTGGAGGCTACTGTAGCCTCAACCTGCTGGGCTCAGGCGATCCTTCTGCCTCAGCCTTCCAAGTAGCTGCAACCACAGTCACGTACCACCAACCCCAGCTAATTTTTTAACTCATTGTAGAGATGATGTCTTGCCAAGTGACCCAGGCTGGTCTCAAACCTTTGGGCTCAGGCAATCCTCTTGCCTCTGCCTCCCAAAGTGCTGAGATTAAAGGCCTGAGCTACCATGTACAGTTTAAGCTCTACTTCTTGAAGGGAGAAACATAAGTTTTTTAGCTGTATTTTTATCTTTTTTTTAGTTGAGGTCTTACCTTGTCAACATGATTATGGCTCATTGCAACCTCAACTTCCTGAGCTCAGGTGGTCCTTCCATCTCAGCCTCCCGAGTGGCCGAGACTATGGGTGCACGCTTCCACGCCCAGCTAATTTTTATTTTTTGTTGAGAGGGTTTCACTGTGTTGCCCAGACTTGTCTTGACCTTCTGGGCTCATGTAATTCTCCTGCCATCTGCATCCCAGAGTGTTGGGATGACAGGCATAAGCCACCATGCCTGGCCAAATTTTTTGAAAAAAAATTTTTTTTAATTTGGAGTCTCACTTTGTCACCCAGGCTGGAGTGCAGTGGCAAGCTCATGACTACTGCAGCCTCGACCTGCTGGGCTCAGGTGGTCCTTTTGCCTCAGCCTTCCAAGTAGCTGGAACTACAGGTACACGCCACCACACCTGGCTAATTTTTTTATTTATTGTATAGATGAGGTCTGGCCAAGTTGCCTAGGCTGATCTCAAACCCATGGGCTCAGGCAGTCCTCTCTCCTCCGCCTCCCAGAGTGCTGGGATTACAGGCTTGAGCCACTGCACCTGGGCTAAATGTATTTTTAATCGCTTCAGGCAGTGATGGGTGTCGGAACTGGCCAGTTTTTTTTTTTCCTTAGCTCCCTAATGTAAAGTTGAGAGTGGGTGTCTGTGTTCCTGGATCCTGAAACTCTAAGGTCATGGAACTGGCTGCAGGATTTCAAGAATCTGGCCTATAGCATTGAGGAGGGTGTCCTGTATTCTTTGTATTTCCCAGGCTGATTTTGATCTCTTGGGCTCAAGGGATCCTCCTACTTCAGCCTCCAGAGTAGCTGGAACTACAGGTATGTGTCACCATGCCCAGCTCAAGTCCTTCTTTCATAGCCTTGCCATTCAAAGAGTTCATGGTCCAGTAACCTTGAAGTTGCCCAAAAGTTTGTAGAAATGTGGAGTCAGGCTGCTTCCCAGATCTGCTCAATCAACTCACTTTTTAATAAAATCCTGAGAGACTTCTAAAACACATTACAGTTTGAAGAGCAATGTTCTAGAGCAAGAATGTTAAAAATGTGCAGGTTAACTAGCAACATGTTAGAACCCAGCTTTTAAAGTAGTTAATGCTGGCTGGGCATGGTGCCAGATTACAAGTGTGATGTAATCCCAGCACTTTGGAGGCTGAGGTGAGAGGACTACCTGAGCCCATAGGTTCAAGAGCAGCCTGGGCAACTTGAGACCTCATCTCTACAATTAAAAAAAAAAAAAAATGAGCCAGGCAGAGTGGTGCACACCTGTAGTTCTGACTACTTGGAAGACTGAGGCAGGAGGTGGCTCAACCAGCAGGCTGAGACTACAGTAGCCGTGAGTGTGTGACTGCACTCCAGTTTGGGTGACAGAGTGAAACCAACTAAAAAAAAAAAAAATTGCCGGGCTCGGTGACTCAGCCTGTAATCCTAGCACTTTGGGAGGCTGAGGTGAGTGGATTGCCTCAGCCCGTGGGTTCGAGACCCACCTG